TACCAAGTGTTTTAGTTGGGGCAGTAGATAGATATGTATCTCTGACATTCTGGAGAATGTTTGAGCATGCCCGTGTCCAGTTAATGTTATTGAATTGGACTGAATTAATTTTAACTCCTTGTAGAATTTGTCTTCATAATTAAAATTTGGACATCTAAAACAGTTACACTCTCTGTGTGGCATATATGTGTATACATGTCTTACATGTGTGAAGGCCAGAAGTTGATGGTGGATGTCTTCTTCAATCACATGCCACTGTATAACAATTTTTAAAAAGACAATCTCTCTTTAAATCTGGAACTCACTGATTCAGAAAGGCTGACTGGCTAGACAGATCTTTCTGTCTCAGTTTTCCCAGAGCTGGGAGAACAAACATTCACAACTGTACCCAGCTTCTATGTGGATGCTGGCAATGGAACTTGGGCCCTAATGTTTGTGCAGTAAGCACTTTACTCTCGAAAGTCACATCACTAGCCTTAAAACATTTTAGTTAGTGAAACTGGTACACTGGGATTTGATAAGTTATCTGACAGAACTAATCAATACTACTGATGTTTTTGAAAAAAAAATTCTGTACATGGTAGACAGAAAGATTTAAGTATTCATGGGAGACACCATGAATTTAGGAAGCTACTATGTGTTTACTGTGAGATTCTGAATAAGTCAATTACTGATCCTTTTAAAATTCAGTTTACCATAAAACCCATGTCACCTTAGAACACCTGCCTGCTCTGCTTCTGCTGTCTCTTGCCTTCCATATTTATGTGGGTTCTGGGGATTGAACTCAGGTCCATAGGCTTGACCAGCAAGTGCCTTTATCCACTGAGCTATCTCGGTGGTCTCTAGCAGCTTCATTTCTTGACATACAAGAACCCTTTCTGTTGGCAGGAACCAGTTTTTCCTGTGGACATGGGAGGCCGAAAGTACAGGACTCTTGCACTCCAAGTCCCTCATTTGTATAACCATTGCTCACTTGCCATCGGAAGTACAGCTTTGAGGCTCATGTCCAATTGTGCCTATACAGGACTAAGTCATAATGGTCACTTACTTTGTCACTGTCCCTCCCCTTCCTGTTGTATACCTTTCTATTATACTTTTCCTTCCAGAGTATCTAAGGGGCACTACGCAGTCTCTCTGAACTGAGATTGCTTTTGAGTGAAGATGGGGATAATATTAGGAGGAGGTAACATTTGTCCTACACAAGTCCCTAGATCACGATGCAGGGGACTTTATAAGTCTAGTCAAAGTATTTTGAGATTTTCCTGGCTAATCCATGTGGGCTTTGTATAATTGCAAGAGTTTTTCATAATGGGAGGAAGACAAAGAAGAGAGAAGGCAAGGAGATACAGGGGGAAGAGATGGGAGTTATTTCCACAAGCCAAGACTGGCTGGTAACCTCTAGGAGCTCAAAGAACAAGGGGCAGATTCTCCTTTGGAGCCTCCAAAGGCTCCAAAAGCACTCACCAATAGCTCAATTTTAGCCCCATAAGATTCCTTGTGGACTTCTGACTTCCAGAAGTGTGAGACAATACATCTAGGTTGTTTGACATACTGAAGTTGGTGGGGGTAGTTTCAACTCTTCATGTAGCCTGTGGTTAGCAGGCAGCAGCCCCCTTGGTGTGAACCCATATGTCCCTTCGTCTCTCACACATTACTTTTTACTTGAACTAAATAGAGAAAAGATGTGTAACAGAAGTATATTCCAAGTAGAAATTTGCTTCAAATTTATTTCCAAGAATAGCAAAGTTAATAATATATTTCTCTTACATACCCAAAGGACAAAGATCCGTGTGTCAGGACTGGAGTGTTGGAACTAGAGTTCTAAGCAAATCTTCTTGACCAGTATTGCCTACTGGAAATATGATAGCCAAATAGGGCATGTCTGATTTTCTGGTAGTTTTTGAAATAAGAAATAAATGAGTGAAACTAATTTCAGTAGCAGATTTTATCCAGTGCTCTGGGTTATCATCTCATGATGCAGTGAATTAAAATTCATTTGGGAGCTACTTTCTATTATTTTTCCTTTATATTAAATCCCCAGATTCCAATAAATAGGTTTTTTTTTTTTTTTTTTTTTTTTGGTTTTTCGAGACAGGGTTTCTCTGTATAGCCCTGGCTGTCCTGGAACTCACTCTGTAGACCAGGCTGGCCTCGAACTCAGAAATCCGCCTGCCTCTGCCTCCCAAGTGCTGGGATTAAAGGCATGCGCCACCACTGCCCGGCAATGGTTTTCATTTACACCACTTCTCACCTTGGACTGGCTACATTTCAGGTACACAGTCACCATCATATTTGCTGTTATGGATACAATGAGTTCGGGGCATCTAAATACCCAATACTCAAAGGGCATAAGAATGTGCAAGGCAAGCCAAATTCTGATGCATGTAAGGAGGTTAACATACAGCCAATGAATTATTTATTAGATGAGTGGTTATCGTCACCTGTAGACTAAGCATCATTTGAGAGGCATATAGTTTTCCAGGTCACACCATCATAACAGTGTTCCAATGAAAAAGAATTGGTACTTTCTTCTTACTGTTCTTTGAGACAGGCTCTCAAAAACTCACTATATGGCTACTAAGAATGACTACTAATGCTTGATCCTCCTGCATCTAGCCCTCCCCCAGCACTGGGATTATAGTCATGCACCACCACACCTGGTTTATTCCATGCTGGGGATCGAACCCAGAACTTCATGCATGCTAAGCAGCTAAGCAGGCACTTTCTTGACTGACCTACCTAAATCCTCACCTCCCTCTTTGTGCTCTCTCTCTCCTCCTCCTCCTCCTCCTCCTCTTCCTCTTCTTCCTCCTCCTTTTCTTTTGTGTTTTTTTTTTTTTGAGACAAGTTTTCTGTGTATAACAGCCCTGGCTGCCCTGGAAATTGCTTCGCTACCCTCAAACCCACAGAGATCCACCTGTCTCTGCCTCCCAAGTGCTGGGATTAAAGGTATGCACCACCACCACCTAGCCCTCTTTTTTTTTCTTTGCTTTTTATTAAAAAAAAAAATCCGTGTGTACTAGCTATAGTTTTTTTTTTTAAATATATACTTCAATGAAACATTAGGACATGACTAGCTCACAGGCACACTTTTTTTTTTTCCCAATGTGTACCTTGATTTTCTGTAAATGAGCCCTCTGAAGGTGGAGTCTGGAGCTAATTAAACATGGACCTGCGGAAGTTCCCAAAGTGCTGGCCACTTGACATTTCCAAGCATATGGAGCAGATCATAGGCACACCAGCCACCAAACCTGACACTGTAAAGCAATCACACTTCACATCTTGAAAAGTTCAGGACTGCAGAATCTTCACACAGATTCTTCAGGTTAATGTTGGGGGGAGGGTTTAAGGGGGGGTCTCTTCATCTTTTAATTTAATTTGGTGGCACTTTGAAAGTGGATCTTCTGGAGGTCGGTTTCCCTGCTGCTAAAGAACTGTTAATCTCATCCCCACATAGCACTTGGTCTTTCTTAAGTGGTCTTTCTAACAAAACATGACTCTCTCCAACGTTCAAGGGAACTGTGATTGGAGCAAATTGCGTCTGCTTACATTTTTATCATGGGAAGGAAATTGAATCTTGCAACCATACATTCTAAGAACCTGGTTTGAGGGTTGTTCTGTTTGAACTTCAAAATCCCTTAATAACGTGCCGGATCCTGATGAAAGACTTTTCCTGTAAGTTAAACAAAGTCATCTCTAAGGAGCTGGAGCCAAACCAAAGGTTTCTCCTCTGCCCCTTCCTCCTCTCCCTAGAATCAGTAGTGAAAAACCTCACTCAGCTGGGAAGCAGCCTGCTTCTCAGGTGACTTTGAGAAATATCTGGAGGTTTTTTTTTTTTTTTTTTTCATAAACTGTCCCAACTTGTGTAGGTGGTAGGGTCCAAGTTGTTACTGGCATCGTATAGCAGTCAGAGATGCTGTTATAGTTCCCACAGAACACAGGAGAGCCTGCCACACCAAAAAATGATTAACTCATCCCAAAGGTCCTTGATTCTGTAGCACAGAGACCCTATGCAGACATGCAAGGAAGAAGCAAG